AATCACCCTGTACCTATATAAATATATAATAATTTTAGGAAGTATATTAGGGACTTACCTACTTTATACTTATAACTAAAGAGAAGGACTTCGCTAGCATTGGACAATTCACAATGTTTGTGATAAAAAAAATAYTCGGAGTATTCAGTGCATATTTTTGCAAGTTTAAACATTTTAAGATATAAAAGATATAAAAGATTTTGATTTTGAGAGGACATATTTTAGAATTGTTAGTGCATATTATTTTGAATGTTTATCAAAAATATTGTGTGATATATAAAATGAATTATTCAAAATAATGCAAATATTTTCCAAAGTATGATTAACCTCTATCTATATGTATGGGTATCACCCAGGTATACTATCAACCTTTGGGACCGATACGCAGCCTGTGGTAGTTGAATCGTAAGAGTGTGGGACTCATCACAGCCTTAAGACATTTGCTTGAGTGTATCTATGTAAGAGTTCGATTAGTTTTTTTAGTTAATTGGTGATAGAATGTGATAATCTGTTACGGGGTCATTGTGTATCTTTTATAATAGGCAGGTTTWATACTTTTTTTTATAATTTATATATTTAATAATTTAGCGTCACCTTCTAAAAAATGTAACGAATAAAACAGGGGTTTTATTTTAAAATGTTAAATTCCATAAAAAGGATTAAGATTTCATTATTGTAAAACTCAGAGTGAAACTAATTATTAGTACCTTTTTTATCTGGCCCGCGCTACAGAAATAGAAGTGGATTTTACTAAATTGTCTATTGAAAAACCTCATCCTCAAGTATCACATTAAATAATAATTGTAAATATAAATAAATAAAAATAAAAAATAAAATTTTAATTTTTTTTTTGCTTTCTCCTATGCACTGCGGCCCGCTAGATTTTAAAGTATTTAAAAGTGGCCCGCTAGTTACTTTGAGTTGCCCATCCCTGCTTTAGAGAATTAAAAAATAGTCGATTGTCAAATGATAACGAAAATAATATACAATATGGTTTAAAGATCAAAATTGAGGAATTGCAACTATAGGCTTTGTACTGAGAAATTGTTCACTTGRCTAACCATGATAGTATTATTTACCTCAGTATATTATTATTGTAATATGTCATAAATTATAATTGTAATGAAGCACATGACTACCGTTGTAGTAGGTACTTTARCATTTGAACAAACGATGATAATATTATCAAACGGGCTTAAAATAATACTAATGGTAAGTTTACACTGTTCAAAATAATATTATTATCTTTATTATTCATGTATAAAGTTTTGTATCAATGTATTAATCAATTGTAATAATTATAATAATGGTTAGGAGATAAATGAATTGTTCACAATAGAGTTACTCATACTTGACATTTAGATTTTGACAGTTAGACATATAATACGAAATCCAATCTAGTGTACAAAATATCTAAATAATTAATTACGATCAAACAATTTTTAATCAATTCAGTCTTTCGTGTTTGAGTTCAGTCGTGTTTGGCCGATATCATGTAGCTTTGTAAATTTGTCTCCAAATCTCGTAACGTAAAACGTTTTGCTAATTTAAAAGAAAGTATTTTTATTCCATTTTGTACGTGTTTTATGAATATTTATCTTAAAGTTTGAACTACTWCAATAAGAAGAATACAATGATCATAAATAAGGTACCTAGGTTTCTAAATAAAATAAACATACAATTTAATTTAATTATCAGTAATTAATACAAAAATAACGATTAAAAAATTTCGTTATAAATTCATGGCAGTAATAACAGGGTGGATTTACTAATTTATTTACATATCTTTGAGAAAATAATATATTCAATCTGTAATRTATTTTTTTTTTACAAAACTATTGTTTTAGACGTATTTATAATATGTGTGTTTATTAGGATTAATATAAAATACAAACATAGAAACATGACTTGTGTGTATGAAAAACATATAATAAGTAATATGATAATGTGTGTGCGTACTCTAATAATTATATAATCTCAAGGAGTATGAAATTACAGTGTTAACAACATTACAACACTATTATTGATATATGTGTCGTATATGAACTAAATATTATTTTAAACTTATTTCTTTCCAATTTTCTGTCAAAATATTTGATACATATGGTAAAATACACGTATTTATACATTAAAAGTATACTTAAAGTTCAGTGGCGTTATTCATATTAACTTTTTTTTAAACGCTTTTTTGGCCTGCTAAAAATAAAATACAATCGCCAATTAACGTACAATTTACCTTAAATATGGAATCAATATTTTCATTTAAAAATGTCAGATGTGGTCAAATAATTWTAATCAACYGACAACCAATAGATAATGGATTACAGAAACATCGTATCATTCGTATCTTATTACAAGAATAAGTTGAGTGCATAAACTGACAGATGAGCACTTCGGAACTGGAGGACAATAATGGCCAACTCTACAAGGTGAATAGTTTAGGTTAGATTTAAAGAGGTATTTTCCTCCCTTGTCATCCCCCTAGAAAAAATGGTGTCATGATTTTAGCGTGATGATGAATTCAAAAGTTTAAATGTCCTGCGAACATTTTTGCACCCAAAAAAAAAACCGATATTAAGCCCCTGATATAGTACAACCTATAAATAAATAAATACTTATTAAAATTATAATATTAATTGTTTAACATTTTCGATACCTAATACAAACGGAAAAAAATATTTACATACCATGTATACATTTCTATWAAGTATTTTTATTTTTAGAGAATCTTAAGAAATTTAAGCATCATGGTTAACAACAGACGTCCAGAAAAAAATCGAACTCATTGGAATAATGTTTCTATTAAGGGATTTGTATTCATAGTGGTATGTATTGTACATATTGAATTTGACATAATATTATGTTTATAGTATATATATAAATTTAAATAGGTAATAGTTTCAAAAATTAAGTCAATTTAATTTTAATATTAATACATTTCTTTATCATCTTAAACATGTATAACATTAATCAGGTAATTTTTAGTTTGAGAAATCTACCTAAAACTTATTTATCTAAATATCCATTGCCGCTGTCTCAAATAAAATATTATTTGTATTATCAATGGTATTATTTATATTAGAGTTGGGTCGAAATGTTAGAATCTCGAACCGAACTAAACTCTAGATGAACTTTTTCTCATTCATAGTAACTAAAATGTAAGTATCATAATGTTATTATTACACTTATTACTATTAGCTATTATTTATATATTACCTATTGTGAATAAGTATRATAAATAATAGAATAAAATGTCGAGTTAAACCTACTTATTTAGTGGACATCATAAATTACGATTTATGAACTCTCTTTAAAAAAAACTAAACAATATGCTAAGTGACCTTTATGCGTTTCTATTTTGAGTTTTACGTTTTAAACATTTAACTATAATAGGTACATTAACAGATAACGAATAATTTCTTATATTTTATTAAAATAAACATCTAATAATACGCAAGCCTAATAAAAATATTTCATTTTTCATWGTAGTAAACTTAAAATTTTTACATATCCAGATACGTATATTTGTAATTAATGGGTTTTAGTTGAATTTATATTGGAATTTGTTGGTTTTCTTAACGTATTGCAGATCGTTTTGATATGTGCCCCCGTGACGTCATATGCCGATCCAACGGATACCGAWGCTAATAATACGATTACAATAAATTGCTCGGGCCTGAAGACGTGCAAAAAGTGCACCGAACAGGAATCGTGTCTTTGGTCGCTGGAACGTCAAACGTGCTTTACCGACTATGGAACGCCACTATTGTTGACCGTACGTACAGAGACTGAATGTCCATGTATTTTGGTGATCTCGACGGTGACATACGCGTCTGATTTGCCTTATGTTTACGCCGTGAAGGTGTCCAACGACGTGACCGGGTTCATGGAATTTCTTGAGCAGACACGAGTGTCGTGCGTCACGTTGGACGTAACGCGTCCCGCTAADGTGTTTGGTGACGTGATCAGTTGCGCGCCGGTGAACCGGTCCGATCTAGGCTTTGACCAGCAGACGTTGATGACCTACCACTGTTACGTGATTTTCGGCGAAGGCGACACAATACTGCGGCTGGACGATGGTACACACAGTTACTTCACGGTGTACGACGAATACCACAACGGATACCGGCCGGACGAAAGTTGTGTGACCTGTCTCTGGGACGTGGGCCACTTCGCATACTATTACAAGTGGTGTTCTAGCAAGAACTTGGTTACGGGCCGGTATAGGTTCTTCGTTGGTTACAGCGACACCGACCACAAAGCCGTTATGCCGGTCAGCGACCACCTTTCGGCCACGGTGCCGGCGTCGTCCAATTGCAACGACGTGCGTATCCAGTCGGTGGAACCGTTGTCCGCACTGTGGACGGGAGGCCAGCAAGTGAAATTTACGGTCAACAACCATTTGATCTTGGCTGACAGCGTTAACGAAGTAGTCACTGTGACCGTGGCCGGGCGTGACTGCGTGCGACCGACGATAGTGGATCGCAAGAATAGCCAAGTCACGTGCCTGCTGACCGCACCCCACCACGGTGTCGTAAGACCACAAGCTGATGTGCAAGGCCCGGTGCTAATCACTTATCAGCTATCTTCGCTTACGGTCGAGTCGGCGCAAACATTTCGGTTTGTCTACCCAGAGATCACGGACATCAGCCCATTGTGCGGCCCGCTGACCGGCGGCACGCTGCTCACAGTTCGTGGACGACACTTGGATGCTGGCAGTCTAGTGACCATAGTGATGGCCGTTGGTAACGGAATACCATCGTCGGTGCCGTGTGAAGTGATTGCCCGGCACAACAACCGCATACTGTGCCTGACCGGTCCATCAAACAAGCCCGCGGCCGGAACAATTAACGTGGTGTTCGATAAAATTCTTAGCGTACAGGATGGTACAAATGGTCCACTAATGTTTATCTACACCACTGGGCCCGTATTGGCCGCTGGTCAACAGTTTGGAGGCATCGCGTCCGGTGGTACGATCGTGCCGGTCCGTGGAACTGGTTTTGCCTGTGTCAGTGATGCAACGATGTATGTGGACCGTGACGGCATCCGCCGAGTTGCCATTGGTCACTGCCACCTAGTTAACGATACGTATATGGATTGCAGTACTCCGAAACTGGACGGGCCGAAAGCCGGTGCCTTGCCGGAACGGCTAAGTTTTGGGTTCCACGTTTGGCACGCCTACGGTCACGTTTCCGATATGCCACCGTCGCCGGACACTGATGGGTATATGGCTCACCCCGACCCTGTGTTAACAGACTTTTTCGTGGTACCCGCTAGCAGGTCCGTACTGATCAATGGACTAAATTTGGGCCGCGGTTACCGAACTACCGACGTTGTGGTTGTCCAGTTTTCGAAGAACCTGACCGAAGCTGCTTGTAATGTGACCTCTATTACCTCGAGCCACATCATATGTGACTCGGAATCACCGRCTAGACTGAATCGCGCCCCTTTTCTAGTCGTCACCATTGGCGACCAGTTGGACTACACGGTCAATAGAAGAACGAACATCAATCAGCCTAAGTCGTTTGGATTTCTTTTCGTCATATGGATTCTCGTGTCCATCACCTTGATGTTCTGCTACTATAAGCTTAAATCCATGAACATTGCACATTTAGCAAATACTATTTAATGTTACGTTCCATTTTATACCTATATTTGTGCTATCATAATTAACAATTAATTATTTTTGTTACTATTATTATTTATTTCCACTTATTATTATTATTGTTACATAGGTAGTTTACTAGTGTCATTTTAATCATTTTAGTTATTTTTCATTTTTTTTWAATTAGTTATTATRTTTAACTACTAGGTTTAACTATGTATTGCCTATTAATAGAAGACTATAGTAATTATACAGTATAACTAGAAGTTGGCGCCTACTAAAAGTATTTTAATATCTTAAGTACTTATCAATTTAAGTATACACACTATAAACGCTACCTATTAAATAACAAAGTGTAATAATTAATTATTATTATTTTTATAATATAGAAATTAGAAATAGGTACAACTATGTAACATACATAGTAATCCTCATTGATTCTTATCTTAATTTTTGTTTAAATTTTGATTATTAAGATTAAAATATTTTAATTTTATTCTTATTGGTAATTTCTACACAATAGCAAATAAAAATGTGTAATCTACGTTAAAAAAATAAAGATAATATTTTAAATAATTCAATTAATTTTTAATTTATATAACATGTTTGCGTAATGTATTGTACGATCTTTGCCTATACAACTGTAATTATTATTTATAATACACTTACATACCTTAAAAAATATCAATGTTTCATGCATGCCATTTTGTTTTAAAGTCAATTATGCTTATAAAATAATAAACTTATTATTTAAAATTATCAGAAAAAATTGATTAACAACATTGCACTTAAAAAAAAATTAGCTACCATCAGTCATCAAGTACTAATTGGGATACCTACTAATAAAATGTTCAAGTTATAAATTGCTAATTTTGCAGAACTACTTTTTTTGATTCATTCTTTACATCCTAGGCATTTAATTTAGTAGTACCTATATACATTTCTATCATCCAATTCTATGCCACTGGATAATTTTCTCAGTTCTTTCTTTTTACTATCCGTGTAAATATCAATTTTAAACCCTTTTTTAGAAAAACATACTTTGTGTGTTTAATTATATCTGTGACTTGTGACAAGATTCCTGTATCATTGATAGAGGCGGAAAAACCTTAAATACGCCACTGTGTATCAAACGTATTTATAACGTCGATATATTTCGTTGTGTCGTTATAGTAATACTTAAAACAAACTGCGCTTCAATTTGTGCGAAGCATATGGCTGGATCACCTTTTCAAATCAGTAGTGGTTTTATTGTTATACGATTTTTTGTGGTCGTATTCAGAATTACTGTTTTCATACATCGTGTTATGTATTGTTGAGGTCACCTATTGTATAAGTTGATGTAAGATAATATAAAAACTGACACGGTTCTTGTACTTTTGGAACTCAAGTGTATCTTATATGCTTAGAAATCTCATGAAAAAGATTAACATTAAAACGGTATAGGTAATGTAATTAACAGCGCAAAGAATAAGAGATTATATTATATGTGTGTGTGACTCAAGTGTGGAACAATGGCGGTGGCGGTGTTGGGCTAAAATGCACTTTACCACGACCCTAAAGTATTTTGATTTTTTTATAAAGGCGTGTTTTTCAATGCTGCATGATTTTGAAACTGTTTGAATTTTTTTGCAGAAACTATTATTCAGAAAGTTATAGTCCTCCAAAGTTTGCGATTTTACGTTTATATGCATGCCTGCAAAATTATTTTATTGCTAAGCGGAAGAGTTTGATAACCAGAACAGGTAGGCGAAGGGATCCACTATAGGTACTTGAGTTRCTTTAACTAAGAAGGTTAAGTTTATTTGTTAGATAATCCATCAATCCGAAAAGCAGGTATGCTTTCTCTCACGGCTCCAAAGGAATTGTCCCTTCATCTTACCCTCAGGTAGGCTATTTTAGTCCCAAAGGATTTGGTATCTGAATCTMTATCTAACTCTTTTATGAATGGAGTCGTTAGGTGAAGGGAGCTATTATAATATACTTATGTTACATTTATTCAGCGATACAAATGATGATAAAGAAACTGATAATATAATTTTTYAATACAGTGGTCGCCACTTATAGTGATCACATTCGTTCAAGGGTATTTTGATCACTATAAGCGGCGACTAGAAAAACAGGTAGAAAATAACCAAAAAATAATTAAATATTAAAATAATATTTATTATTATTTTTTATTTATTATATTTTAATATTTTTAGTAATTTTTTAAACACTTATTATTTTGTACACAACATTAAATATACTTTGCAGTATGTAAAAATAGTGATTTAACAAACTTAGATTTTTTCAAAAAGTCGGTAATGTGTCCCTGTTTTTTTGGTATGGAAACCATCATAATGTGCTCCAAGTTGTTCAACGTAGCAAAGTAGTCTGGGCCTATGTCATGCTCTTCTACAGCTCTTCTGAGTGTATTAATTGCTTTAAGTACTTCACTCCTAGTAAATGGTACTTGTTTTTCTGCATGTTCGTCTTGTTTTCTCCATGAAGTTTTTTTGTAAACAATATCGTAGCGATCTTTCCACCTACACCTAATCAACTAACTATCTGTACCAGTAAAATTCATTTCTCCCATTTTGTTTGCCAAATCATTGGCTTTCGCCATTAATATAATACGATTTATTAGAGCATTCGTAGCACTAGCTTACATAAACCACACGAAAAGAGTTTCATCGGTTGTCTTACTTTTACTCTCACGTTTACGTTTTCTACTTTGTGATTCGGAGCAGTCACTTATTTCGTTACGGAATTTCAATAACTTGTTAAATCTTGATTGCGAAATGCCCAATTTTTGTGCAGCTAATCTCTGATTTGTCTTCTCGGGGAGTTTATCGTATTCGGCTAAAATACATTTTTTTTTAACTATAATTGAAAGCGCACTTTTATTAGCAATAATATTGTATACACTTTACACACTATACAAACGATAGATGAAAACAAACTGCATATTAAGTGTAAAAATATTGGTACTTGTGAGAACAAAAACGGTTTCAAATATGCACGATATGAATTATTGCTCATTACGTGGGTTATATTAAATAAGATTAACTCGGCTAAAGTTCACGATTAAGTCATTCGTAATCGTTCTTCTTGTGCACAAGGTAATATTATTGTAAAKTATATTTATATTTTATATTTATGACATGATTATATTTTCTGATCACAAYAACCGAAAAAGTGAGCGACGAAAAATGCACGTATAACGGTTGTTTGTTCTGTTTTTGGCATTTTTGATCACTATAACTATAACCAGTGAACACTATAAGCGGTGACCGCTGTATATATTAATTACAGGCACGTACACAGAAT